ACTGCTAAGGTTGACATTAATTAAGTTAAGCAGTGACCCTGTTCCAAGACCTTCCATTGCACCTCTATTGTGTTGATTCTTTAAAACACTGGTTTTGTGTGTGTGTGTGTATGTGTGTGTGTGTGAGAGAGAGAGAGAGACGGAGAGAGAGAGAGAGAGATCACAGAGATACAGGCTCTGAGTAAGGTGTTGGGAATATACTGAGTAATAACTAATGGCCTCACCCCTTTAGGAACTTGGACAATCATACAGATTAATATGAAGTGTCAACTGATTTCATGGTGGTATATGACAATGAAACGCTGAGAAGAGATTAAATTACTGATATACATTATACCTGCATTTCCTATACCTGACCTCTTTGATTATTTTGGGTCAAGATAGTTATTACACTAACTATGTACCCACCTTCAGGATTGATAACTGTAATTTAAAAAGAGATAGACCCATGGATAGAAAGAACCGCTGGGTTTGGAATAAGTGCTTCTGACCTACACAAACCCCTCACATGGGAAGGATGTCTGCTGCTTCCTTTGGAAGGGCCATACAGCAATAAACCTTGTTCACAAAGAGAAACTTAAGTAGCTGGAAAAGATGGAGATAGAGTTCCCTGAAGCTATTCTTCTGGGTCAGTGAAAAAAACTGAAAAGAAACTGCTTCTATTATTACCCTTTCATGGCTCCCGGGCCAACAGTGGCTCCACTGGATGTTACCTAAACTCATGGCTAAATGATAACGAAATTCTCTCACACTCCATTCCATCTTCTCTGGCAAAAGATGTCAGTATTACATTAGCAAGAGACTTGACTTTTTGTTCATTTGCTGGTGGTATGATACTCTTCTCCCTCTTCTATATTCCATCTTTCTGTCTTTTTCTTTTTGATGGAGAACATGAGAGGGAATATCTGACATCTGACTCCTGCTGTGGTCACTACTAGCTGAAGATGCTAATCAAAGAATGGGTTACATCTGAATTTAGGCAGACTCAAGAACTGTATCCAGGGCAATGTTTCTCAGTTGACTTTTATTTTATTCCAGCTTAACTTCAGAGCCCTGTTATAAACACTTATATATGCTGACCCGTTCAGGGAATAGCTTAATAATAAAATACCTCTACTGTAATGAAATGGGTTTTAGATTTTAAGTACTGTATCTAATTGCACATTATTAAAGGAATATCTTTCTAATATTCATTTCTCAGTCTCAAATTTTGCTAGAGTTTAGTTAATTATATTTCTTATCATATGTGTTACTTTCTCTTATCATGCCTAAAAATTAGCCTACAGGAAAAAAAAAAACCTAAACTAAGTTAACTTCATTTTTACTATAGCCTTAGGTTGTATCTGACAATTAATATTTCATTTTTAAAGGAATACAGCATGACAGAAAAGTTACACTATCAGCTCTTAATATAACATGTTAAAAATTAATTTTAAAAATTTAGCACAGGAATAAAAATAATGCAGTCATCAAAAAGATAGATTTAAGTTAAGACACCTGCTGAGTGTGCTCCCTAATATATTTTCTAATTGAGTCATAACCTTTCAAAAGAGAACAATTTTTCCTTTTTATAAGAAAAAAATACAAGATTCCATTCACACTTTTTTATCAGAAAATCATAATGGCTACGAACACATGTTAAAATTACTATGAAAAGAGATAGACATGGTGATAATAGAAATCCCTTGTGCCCACCTGGAATGTTGTGCTTATGAGCTTATTATTGTGTCACAGTAAGGCACAGGCCTTACAGGCAAGGGATTTCCGGGCGGGACCGTTATGGCACTTTGGTGGATTTTATGCCTAATCTTTCCATTTTAACTGCCTTCTTCACCTAGTTACAGTTATACAACCATAAAGGTAAAGACATATTGCCCTCAAACTTCGGCACCTTGGAGGCAGACACTGTCTTTTACACTGTCTCCCTCAGAAGGCCTCTGATCTATAGAAGGCATCCTCAAGTGGGTATCACTTGTTAATTCGACAAAGACTTGCCTGCAATGTATGCACAAGGCACCACGTGACACGCACCCCATGTGGTGACACAAGAGGGGTCCAGAGAGAGACCTGTAGGTGCACAAAGGCCATGCCTCAGACCTGTCACCACAGCTCCTGCAGTCATTCCTGAGCAAATTTACCTCTCTAACTATTTCAATTCCAGGGAGAAGAAAGAGATTGCATGTTCAATCCATAAGGAAAACTCAATGCCAAGAGAAATCCATGGAAAGGAAACTCAATGAAGAAAATACCAGCTGACTGACATCCTACTTTGATATAAGCAGGATGATATTTATGTCAGAATAGGATACTGGGCTCTGTTCTATACGGTTTGTTTCATGGAAGCATTTTCTTTTTCATTGAAAGAGAAAATACAAAATACATACAAAATTAAGCAACACAGTATTTCTTTTTTTGAGTATATAATTTAATCAAATATTAGATTCATTTGATTTTTTTGATTTTTTTGAGGCAGGGCCTCACTATGTAACCGAGGCTGGTACTGAGCTCACTATGTAGCCCAGGCTGGTCCTGAACTTGTGGTGATCCTCCTGAACTTGTGGTGAGGAGGAGGATCACCACTTTAGCCTCTCAAGTGCTGGGATTATAGACGTGTGTCACCATGCTTACTTTTACTTGATTTTGCTATTCCAATTAAAACATAAAACTCGTTCAATCAACACAAGTACTTTAACTCCAACTATATTTTGGATCCAGTGTTTTCAGTGCCCAGGTTTTGATGGAGAAGAGACGAAGGCAAGGGTAGACAGGAAGGAAGGAGCAAGTGAGAGGTCCGAGGAGCAGCAGTCCCCTCAAGTAGAGGTGCTGAGTGTGCATTATAGCTCATGGGACAAACACAGCCTTTCCCTTTGTAAACACTGGAAACAAAATCAAAAGAAGAAAACTGTTTCATGACATGAGAAAACTATATGAAGTTCAAGTTTCAGCGTCCATGAAGTTTCACTGGAAAGAGCCACGTTGACTGTCTGTAGATTATCTGTGGCTAGCTTATACAAGCGCAGAGTCCAGCAGTTGAAACAGAGATATGATGGCCTGCATAGCACAACATATTTACTAAGAGTCACAGAAATGTTTGCAAACCTCTGCCCCATAAAAACAGGAAAAGTGCAAAAGACAGAAATCAACTGAAACACAAAGGGGCAAAATGATGGAAAGGAGAGAAGAGCAACTAAGAGTTAATATTCCCTGGACAGGTACTACATAGCTACAAAATTATACCTACGTTATTTCCAAGTTTTCCTACAACAGCGAGGAGAACACGGAGGCTCAGAGAAGGCAAATTACTCACCATCGAATTACAAAGTGAATGAACCCACTGAGAAAACTAGCAATGACATTTTAATTGAACAACAAATTATGGGGGTCAGGAGTTGATTTCAACGAACCTTTTGAATCAGTAAGGTGTCTTTTAGAATAATATGAACATCTTTTAGTCCAAAAGACCCAATGTATGTTTCCATGTAATTATTTACACAAACACCTTTCTAATACCAAGATCTACTGACAATAATAGAAAAGTTTTGTACAGGTTTACTATGTAGCAAGTACTGTTATAAGTACTTATAAACACATTCACACTAATTCTCTAAGCTTCACGAGGAAAGCACTAACACGACCATTTACCTCGAAGCCATGAAGAAGTTATCTAACTGGTGCAAGGCTACAAAACTCACAAGCAACAGCCAAGATCCAAATGATGGCCAGCTGACCACATATTCCATGTTCTCAGCAAATGTGATATACTGGTGTGAGTCCAACCCAAGCTGTTTCAGAATCGCCTGGAGAGTTGTTGACACAGAGTGTCAGGCCCTCTCCCAAAGCTTCTGATTCTTTGAGTCTGGGATGGAGCCTGAGAGTTTGTGTTTCTAACTTATTCCAGGAGAAGCCGCACTCTGAAAGCGGTCGCTCTATGACTTCTCTATTAATTCTTGGTATTGCCACCAAGCCATTCCGTCCTCCATTTGTATGGCTTCACCTCAGCACAAACTCTCAGAAAGTTCACACTTGGATTTCTGGGGAGGGAGGGAATGCTTTTCTAGGCAGCTTCCTTATGTCCTTCTTCCTGTTCAGGGAATACATCCATGGGCAAATTCTATTTGTTAAACATTGCCTTCAGGTTACTCTTTTGCTCAAAAGTTAACAACGCCATACGTAATTTAAGCATCAAAGTCTGGCTTTCCAGACTCCGGTGAACTGTTCCTCAGCTATTACATCATTCATTCCGTTGTTCCTTTATTCGGCACCTTAGTTTTTGTACCCAGCGCTCCCTCCCTTTCTTCTAAGAAGCTTGTCCCTTGGCCAGCCGAAGCCTTCCCTGAGGCTTTCTCAGCTGAGGATGCAACAAGCTGTCAGGATGTGGGCAGGAAGATGCTAGGAGAAACTGCTCTGAGAAAAAAGTCATCATCACATGGAGAGAAATCGAGACAGGAAAAGATGAAATACAGGCAGAAAGCAAAGTTCCTGCTGCTCAGGCCTCCAGAACCCTGTCCTTCTGGAAGCTTAACTACATTCTTCTTTTAGTAAATGTTCTCTTTTTTTGAGTAAATATCAGAGAAGAACAAAGGTGTCACTTGCAGGTTTACAGCCCCGGCTAATTAGCCTTCGCCAACTATTTGTTGAAAAGTCCTATGTGCCAGTCACGTTTTCTTCACCGTCCCCAACGAGCCACAGTAACCTCTACTGCGGGTGCTGTCTGAACTGAAAGGAAACCTTTTTCCTTTCCCTTCTGCCATGCAAGCTCTTCTTGGGCCAAACTCAGGTTCCCCCTCACGCTGCTCTGTGGCTTATTCTTTTTTACCTCTAGCTCTAAGGGCTTGATGACACCACACAAAATCAGGATTTAAACTGATTTCAAACTTCAGGGGAAAAGTGGCCTGGGGAAAGTAGTTTTCTGAAATGAAATATCATTGGTTGATCCAGGGGTAGTGGGGCTCGGGTGGTACAGTGGGATTGGGTTACAGAATGTGACCCCAAGTGAACTCTCGGGCTTAGGTGATAACGTGAGAGAAGCCAGAAGACCTGAGAAACAAGGCTCATGTTTTCTTTCTGCCTGTGTTTTCCAAATAAACCTTCCATTCTGTGCACATTTCTCACTTTGGAGTTCTATTTCAGAGCTAACACTTCTCCCTGTACTGCAGAACACCACCAGGAAACGAGCACTGTGGTTCATCTCTGCCTGCTTTCTGCTTCTCTAGCTCCTGCTCATCCTGGAGCCAATATGGTTTCACTGCATCTTGATCACCCTGGTGAGAAGTCAGGAGGGACCCCTACCTGGCAGAAGCACTTTCTTCCCTGAATGTTCCAACTGCTTGTCTGTATAACTTCTAACAGCTTTTCACATATTTCTATTTTATTTCTTGATCTACATAGGAGGCAAAGATCTTTTTTTGGGTGGGAAAGCCCATTAATCTTGCCATAATATTTTTTAAATAGTAGGAGCTCAATTAATAAGTTGATTAGTTGGCTATCAATATAGACTATTATATCTCAAGATACTGATTTATTTTAAGAAGATGGCTTTGTTAAAAAATAGTCATTGAACTCCTGGTATGTGTTAGGCAGTGGATTGGGTGCCACAGAAATAAATAATTCCTGCCCTTGAGGTGCTTAGAGTCCATATGGGGAAGCAGGCCCCTAATTAGATATTTTAATAGAATATTCTCAGAGCCTTGGGAAAGGCATATGGAGGTGCAGTGGGAGTACAGATTAAGGGCTCTGGCTTACAGAAAACGTCCTAGAAGAAATGACACACGAGCGGTCAGAAAGGATCAATGGGAATTAGGCAAAGAAGCGGGGAAGAGGAGAGGAGGTAGCACAAATCACATCACCAGCAGGGCTTTCTGTCTGTTCAGTGTTTTACTGGAGTAAAAAGCATGGGGTGAGGCTGAGGAAGGCAGGTGCAGGGTCGGGACAGGCTGGCTTTGTAACGCCCAGCTGCTGGGCCCTGTCCTGACGGAGATGAGGAGCAGTTGGGAAGGGCTTGCAGCAGGCCGTAAAGTGTGCTTGGCAGATGTCGTAGAGGAAAACAAAGTGTAAGGAAGCCAATTAAAAAGCAAAGCCAAATGATTTGAAAAGCCCAAGTAAAAAGACCTAAATTCGCCCTCAGTGGCAGAAATGGAGAGGAGCAGATAGATTGGGAAATATTTAGATGGGGAGACAAAGTGACAAATCTGGGTGATTGTTTTGATGGTACGGGGTGGGGCAGGAGGAGAAAGTGAGCAACAGTTGTACCAGGCGATTATTAGTGCCACTAACTTAGACAGGGGACAGAAGCAGGGCTCAGGGGATGGTGAGACGTCCTGGCCACCCCTGCTGTGTTTGGAGTGCCTGTGGACCACCTGACAGAGCAAATGAGAAGGATTTTTAGCTCTGGAGGTACGCGGCTAGCAGGAGATGTAGAGCTGAACTAGACCCGGCAAGTCATTCACACACAGCAGAGGCCAGAAGCATAAGGATAAGCAAAGAGGATCTCTGGATACATTTACTGTTTTTAATTTAGTCTTATTTCACTGCTAGTGTTTATTTTTAAATTCCAGGAAATATTATATAAAGTACTTTAAACATAAAATGAAGTGTTGATCGTGCAAATGATTTTAAAGAATAACACATATTCAGCCCTTAGTCATATACGGGTGTTTAGAAACATCCCATTATTATCTGACAGCAAATCACCTTGTCAATACAATGCTATACACACATCCCGATATGTATACAGTACATATTTAACACATATGCACATGCTTTACTTAAATATAACAAAGTGGTTTATGCCAGCTACTATGTATAAGATCTGTACTAATACTTAAATACTATGAGCAAAGTTTTGTTGTAATATCTATCTTCTAGATTAAATGAGGGGACACTCAGAAGGAAGGTAATCAATCTATCTTCGGGCTCCTAGCTGCTAAGTGGCAAAGCTGGAAGGCAAAGCCAAGTGTGTCAGTCTCCAAAGCCCCAGGACCTTCAGGACACTGAGCAGTCAGTGCTGCTCTGTCACTACCATCGCTTACCCAGGCCTCCTTTGCAGCCCAGGGCGGTTGTCAAGACAGCAATAGCCTTGAGGATCCAGAAGGAGGCAGGCGTGCACAGGGATTTCAATACTCACTTTACAAATCACAGTGAATGACTGGATGTCTAATGAACACACGCATTTGTAGTTAAGATGGTAGGTATATTTGTTTTGGAGGGCAATTACTTTTCTAACTAAGCACTGTTATCTTTATTTAAGACATATAAACAGGTTATATATAGTATTATACTGACAAGGTGACTTGCTGTCATATATGAATATGTTCTCAAAAGTTAAACTAGCTCCTTCCCTCACCCAGGAATATCACTTCTAGAAATAAAACTTTCAAGGAAAAGAAATGGGAAAATCTTAATGTCTACCAATGGAGTTTGTCAATTAAATGATTGAATAATGATATAATACCTTGAGAAAGATTTATCTTCCTACTTCCTATAATCTTTTAGTTTTCTCTGTATTTGTAATTTGGGTTTCTCATATAAGATAAATTATGTGATATTTAAACTGTGAGTGTGATTTATTTCACTTAACATTACGATTTCAGGATGCATCCATTTTCCTACAAATGACTCTTATTGAAAAGAAAATTTCTATTCAACAGCGTATGAGCAGAAGCTGTCACGCTGGAGGTTGGAACTGGAAGGAAGAGAATATAAAGACTGATTTTTTCTTTTATATATATTTAATATTTTAATTTTATAATGAAAATTTACTACTCTAGTAATTTATTTAAAGTAATAAAAACATTCCTTTAAAAGGCAGTTTTAGTGAATCATTTTGTTCACTTTATTTCAGATTTTAAATACCTGACATGCTGAAATCTACAAGTGCGCTCAAGAAGAAATTGGAGCTTCATAAAGTTTATGAAATGTATAACTTGGTATATAACTTTCCATGTTTAATGATAAAGGCAATCTGTATTTCTCATTCTTCCCACCCCCACAGTGTAAATCTTGGCCCTCTTCACATAATCTCCTAGCTGATAAATGAATGCATTCTCTCTAACATTCCTACAACAGCCTAAACAATCTTGATTTTTATCATCTCTTTCCCTTGCTGAGGAAACACATTCAAGATGTTCCCAAAGCTTTAATTTTACCAATTTATATTATTTCTGAAACAAACAGAAACAAGCCTGGGCTCCAGAAAGGCTGCTGGCATATGTTTTGGAAGCACAGCCATCTCCTCCCATTCTGTCTCTGAGGAGCATACAGTATATGAGTTGTTCTCTTCTTTCATTGGGAAGGCATCTGACGAGATCCCACTCCCTACAAATCAGAGGGCATCTTTCTCTGTGGACTTACAGATTTACAGTTCTTCACAGGAACCTCTTCTTTCTGCTCTAGCTCTTCCCATAGCATTCACACTATCCCACTCTCTGACACTACCACTCCAGCTTCTATGCATCTCCCTTCCCTCTTGTTATCCTTAAAGAACACTCAAGAACATCTCACATTTGTCCTAAGGACTCAGAAGCAAGTGCTGCCACTTGGTAAGCAAACACAGTGCTCTATCAAAGAAGGAAGAACCCACTGTTTATTTTTCAAACTTTGGTATCTTCTTGAAAGCTAAGCAGGGTACCCAGAGCCGGACTTCCGTACTGTTTTTGTGGTGCTGGAGATCAAACCCAGGGCCTCACAGATGCTAGGTAGCCACTGTACCACTGGGCGACACCATCAACCCTTTCACCTTTTGCTCAGAGTGGCATGGCACTATAAGAACACGAAGCTGAAGATACCTCTGCCATCCTGTGTGTCAAGGAAAATGGTCACAGGAATGTACCCGAAATTCAAAGGCACCTACTGGAGAAAGAGCCTCATTACATTAGCTTGTAAATCTCTATACCTTCAGCAAAGCACATAAACAGAACATTATCAGAGGCCTGAAATATCCTAAGTAAATCTGAGTGTAGCTCAGTGGTAGAGCACACGCCTATCATGTGGCAAGCCTGTGGATTTGATATCCAGCACTACACACACACACACACACACACACACACACACACACACAGAGTACCATAAATAATTCATTGACAGAATTATATTTATCCAAGATTTTTGCTTGTAAGTAACAAAAAAAGTAAATAATGGAAGCAACAGAGTCTTGTATCAGATGGGGGAGGAGACAAGGGACAGCGTACTGCAATGTACACTGTAAATCCCCTCTCTTCAGTCACCATCTGAGTCTTCTCTCACTCACAGGAAGCAAGAGGATCCGAAAGAAGCTATTTAAACTGGGCTTGGTTGTGCAGTTTTGTAATTCCAGTGCTCTGGGAAGCTAAGGCAGGAAGATAGCAAATTCAAGCCCAGCCTAGACAACTTAGTGAGACTCTAGTCCAATAAATTAATTAATTAATTAAATTAAAAAGGGCTGGGGATGTGGCATAGTGAGGTCTTATGTTCAATCCCAGTACTGGGGGCGGGGGCATCCATTTATAGATTTATAGCTTTTTGTGTTTACAAAGATTTCTAGATTTGCCAAGATGAAAGGGACCTGCATGCTTGGAATTCACTTGGACGCTAGAAGGCCCCAGAGGGCTTATGATAAGTTGGGGACACAGCCTGTGCTCTTGTGTCTTCATCCCAAAGCAGTGTGAGTGATCCCAAATCGGTATTAGATGACTAATCTTATTTTTATGAGTGATCCAATATGAAAGCTAGATTTGATCTTAGTATGTGTAAATCTTCACTGTTGTTTAAAAAGTATAAATCTGTTCTTTCTGGAAAAGTATATAAATCATTATTAACAAAGGCTGCTTTATTATAAATCCCTTATATTTATTACAAATAAAATTTGAGAAATAGGATTATGCCCGTGTGATACTTTAAGAAGTCAATCTCTATATACATCTCTTTATTTCATGGAGATATCAATTTAAAGGCCTATTTCCAAGATCAAATCAAAATTACTGCATAAATAACTAAGCATAAAATGTTAGCTCCAACATATCATCAATAAAGATTAGATTTTTCAAGCTGTGAAAAGAAACATAACCATGCAATTCTTATCTGATGACTGTGAAAGTGAATTACTGAAATTCTTTTTAAAATTGGTATAAAGATGACCACATCCATCTTCTTTTCAATGTAAAAAACAGGGGAGCTGGGTGATACGGTTCAGTGTGGAAACCTCAGGTTCAACCTCAGAGAATTGCAAAAAACCCAACAAGAAAACAGGGCAAGTGAGAAAAAACAAGGAAAGAAGAGTAAACTTTAATAAGGACTTCAGGTTCTTAGAGGAAAAAATCAAATTAATAACAGACACACTACATGCACAGGATATGTTCTAAAGAATAACAGATTAACAGAAAATTCTAATGTTTACACAAGTTAAGATTTCAGCACTGAAACTTTTGCTGTGATACCGAGTAATTCAACCATGTGACGTTTAATATTACTGAGGAGGGGTGAAAATTACAGTTAGCCATCAGCAATCAATTTGTTGATTCTATTGTCCCCAGGTAGCATTTGCGATCAGTGGGAAAATACTCCTTATGCTCTAACTACAACTGCACACTTCATAACCTGCTAATTAGCACTTAATCTTCCCTTTGCTCAGGGAATAATGATTATTACCTTCACCTCATACAACAAAGGGCTACTTTTAGCAATCAATTTTTTAAAATTGGCTAATGATCCATACACAATACCCATCCCCCCACGAGGGCCTTACATAGTCCATCCGGATAGATACTGCTAACCACTATGATTTTTCAAGGCCTGTTAGAGATAGTTAATTTTAATGCTAATATACATGCAAGATAGCCACTTTGATTACTTCAAGAGTAATGAAACTTTGAACATTTTGACCTGTGATATAAAAATTTCAATCCTAAAAGTTTGTGACTTGGATACTAAATGATTCAGGTTTCATTTAAAATATTTAACATGAGAGGATAAAGATGGGATTTTCATTTCTATCAAGTAGATGTTAGGAGGCAAAACACAAGCATTGCAGGCTAAATTCTTTTACTGCTATAATTTCTATAATTCAAATATTGGATATCATAAGGCCATTTTCCCTTGGTATCGGAATAAATTACAAAAGGTGAAAGTTGGCTTCTAAGTTTTGTCCATTGCTTTCAATAGTGGATCCTATTCTGGAGAAAAAAAATAATCTATCAAAATAATCTTTTTTCTTTACTTACACATGAGACATGTAAAGTGTTAAATGTCACTTTATTTTTACTGAGTCATGCACATGTCGTCATGGGAATTGGTAATAAAGTGAGTCTTCTATCTTTGGATAAATGTATATATGAAGGGCAGAACTCGTCTAGCCTCTAAACCTGAAAACTTTTACACTTCATTTAGTAAAGCCAATACAAACTTAAAATAAAGTACATATTTATGTAAAGTGCATTGTGATGAAAGACCCAAAAGCTAGACCTTCTGGATGATCATAACGAATAGTATACATAGAATTTGTGGGTGCATGCACATTATCATACAGTAATTAATATCACACACAGTAACAAAATGCCAAGTAAATTAAAATTGTGTAAAGTCAAAAATGAAGCCAAAATACTCTGTAGTCTCAACAGGAGTAAAATAAAAATTATCAAAATTCCCAAATTTTTATTTCTAATTAAAGTTATTTTGCAAAATAGTGACAGACTATCTTTAAAAAGAAAAACTTGGCCAAAATAATTTAAGTAAATGAAACAAAAATAACTGTTGCAATGGTTGCTAAAGGATGGAGGATATAGTTCAGTGTTAGAACATTTGCCTGGCATGTGCAAGGCTCTGGGTTCAATCACCAAATTTAAAAAAATGAAAAATTTACACCAAATCCTTAGACATAATTTTTTTAAAACACAGGATACAAATCTTCACTCAGTGACCCAATAAAAGATTTTCCAAATTTTATTTGTGATTTGTTAATCCAACAAAGGGTTCAAAACAGTCACACATTTGAGAAAAATGAAGGAGAAACCTAACTTTAATGCTTATCACACAAATAAAAACAGAATAAAACAAAATTCTGAAATCAGAATTAGGTTTGTGTTAAATCAGATAGGAAGTAGTGTAGTAAAAACAAAGACAACTCAGCAATTGTGAATGTGAAAATTTTAAGAAGCAAAATTCCAAAATAGGGCATGAAGAAATGCTTGCATAAATTCTGTATCAATAACATGTTCCTCTGGTCTTGGTCTCACTCAGTTTTAAGTGATTCCATAACTATTATAATCTTGTGTTTATGATAGCATTCATCTACTTGGTCTCTCCTGAAGACAGTGGACTTACAAGGAAGGCTGTTCTTTCTTTTGCCGTTACTGACAATATGCTTAGTTTTATAGGCACAAGTCACAGAGCAACCAATTTTTATGTATCAATATGGTGTGTGTGTATGGTTTGTTTTTTTTTTTTCACTAAAAGCATGTTTTAAATAATTATTACTGCTGGATATAATCACTGATTTCCTAAAGCTGCAGAAAGCAACTTAATATTTCTGTATAGCAGCTGTAATAAACAATATTGCACAGAACTAAATTATTACAAACAGTGCCAGCAGTTTTCTATACACAGTACTTAAGATAATTATAAAAAATCATCTTCATTACTGTGTGCTAGCATTTTTTTAACAGTTTAATTTGGATAGGTTACAAAATACATTCAGATCACACAGATATAATTACTGTAGACCCAAGAAGCTATAAAATGTCCCCAAACAAATCCCTTTGACCCTGTTAATGTCTGCTCCTTGTTAATCTAAAGCAAACATTGTTTATACTGTGCATTTGTTGTAGAATATGAAAAAAAGAAGGGAGGGGGTGCTTAAGGAAATCCCTTAACAGTTGTTATTGATTCCGGCATTTACCGACTGAGAGTTAAGCGCTGTTTACAAAACAGAACAGATGTAGATGCTGACAAAAAGGTAAACAATTGTTGCATGGCCTCCTGCCAGATTCTGAACCGATATATTAAACTCCAAGTGAAGCACATTTCCCCCATGGATTGCACTTATTGCCACTTCATTTCCT